CACACACACACACACACACACACACACACGCACACACACACACACACAGGGCAATCCGCTGTGAATTTATATATTTTTGGGTAGGACAGAGAAATGGACTCACCTCTGGCAGCAGGAAACAATACACAAAAATGCTCCTGGAAAACCTCTGGCCCTCCAGGAAGTTGGGGCTACGTGGCAGCAGTGTCGAATTGCAAAGAAGAATTTCTTGGCCAAGTTTTGACGCCAGAGGTCGTCAGCTGTGGAAGTTCCCCGGGAAGGTAATCCAGGCAGAGGATCTGCAAGCACCGCCCACAGCCGGCCAGAGCAGAGAGGAGGACCAGTCCGCTCGCTTTGTCACACACACACACACACACACACACACACACACACACACACACACACACACACTGAAAAAAAACAAACCCCGTTATGAAATCATTTAACGTGTCTGTGAAAGTGACGTGCTGAGTTATAGTTAACTATTTATTTTATAAGTAGCATAAAGAGCTGAAGAGTTAAAAAAAATACTCGTACTGCATTTTGCGCGTATTATTAACTGTGATATAATTACTGGTGATGATAGTGATATGTCAGTGCAGTAAACATAATATAGTATCACATAATCTGCAGTGCTGACACTGGAGGTTTCTAGAATAATTAAAGCTGTAGAATATATTCTTACATTTTAAAAAGAGATATGTAAGAAATCTATATACTGTATACACTGTAGGCTTGCCTTAATTAATTACACTATATTGTAGCTGAACAGAAATACTGTTTAACAACCTCTGTTTGTGTGTGCCTGCTATTTGTTCTGGTTTGGTAAACTGGAAATGGTGAAATTCTGCTCTTACTTCATATAATCGATTTAATTTTCAATGAAAATGTTGCGCTGATGGTACCTTAGAAATATGTGTTTAATATGGAATTCACACTGGTATCTGTATCTGAAGTTCAATAGCAGGACCACACCCCGCAAATCCCCCTTCCAGTGGTATGTCTATCAACGCCGACTTCCTGCCACACAAAAGTTTCTCATTGTTTTCATGCCCCTCTCCTCCTCTCCTCCTATTTGCCATGCCCTTTTAAATTTATCAAGATCTGGCAGGCCAGGAAGGTGCCATTTGTCTTCAGCCTATCAATGGATTATTTTTTTGGACAGAATGTACTATGGAATAATTTTTTTAAATGGTTTTGTGTGAGTCTTCCAAAGTATATATAAAGAAGACAATTTGATCTCAAATTTCTAGAAATGAGCTTCACCACCCTCCATGTTGAAACTACTGTGATGTTGAAACTACTGTGATGTTGAAACTACTGTGGGCAGCTATTTTTTTTTTGTCTAAACAAATTTTAAAACCTGTTTTAAGTTTAAAAAAAGTTTTTTTTTTCCTTTGAAAATTCTATCAATGTCTTTTCTTTTTCATAATCCTCTCAGAAATAGATTCAGGGATCTTTGAGTTACTTAAAGAAAAAGAAAAGAAAAGTGATATAACAAAGCCACAGGATTTACAAATTCTACTTTATCCTTAATTTGCTGAACAGTTTTTCATCCTGACCCCATCTTGTATTTTGTCAGTAATGGCAAATAACTCGGAGTGGTTATCAGGTGCCAGGAGTAAAGCTGTTATATAAAATCATCCTCACCAAACATGACTGCGACAAAGCAATAAAAACAAAAAAACCCACACCCGCTCAGAACTGGGATTGAAGGGTTTAGGTAAGCAGCAGAATGGCCGACGGCTGTCTTCAATTTGAAAATGCTGATATGGATGTAACAGGTTGTATCAATGCAAGCTACACTTAAAATGTTAATACTATTATTACTGCTGGGTCTTTACATTATAAATAAAGTGCCTTTAGGCGACTGTTGTTATGATTTGACACTATATAAATGAATCGAATTGAATGAATACACTAACTGGCCACTTTGTTAGGTACACCGTGTTGTACCGCCTTTCCCCTCAGAACTGCCTTAGTTTTCAAAGGCATTGTTTTTGCAAGGTGATGAAAACATTCTTTAGAGAGTTTGGTCCATGTTGACATGTTGCCATCACACAGCTCCTGCAGATTTCTCAGCTCCATGATTTGAATCACATTCAAAAGGTGGTCTATTGCATTAATAGTAACAATGAAGGCCTCTTTATGTACAGTGAACCCGAGTCATGTTCAAGAAGCCGGTTTTAGATGGCGTGAACTTTGTGAGTCATAGGTTATTTGTGTATATTTTGTGTATTATTTGTGTGTATGTGTTCTACATCGAAAACGTTTCTCTGTATTTATGTGTAGGTATTTTTGTGGTCGCTAGGTGGCAGTCGTAAAAAAGAGCACGGAGGAAAACGGAGCACAGCGTGGAGGAGGAAGTAAACATGGCGCGGGAGAGCAACATGGCGGTCCCTGAGTTCCTCAGGCAAGCAGAGTTGTTGAAGCAAGGGGCAGAAGCCCGGGTGTACCGGGCCGAGTTTCTGGGAACGCCAACAATAGTGAAGGAAAGGTTCCCTAAACGCTACAGACACCCAGCCTTAGACGAAAAGCTGACACACCGCAGGACAGTGCAGGAGGTCCGCGCCATATTACGCTGTCGGAGAGCAGGCAAGTCCTCCGCTGGTGGAGGTGATCCAATTAGCACCACCCCAAGGTGGTTTAAGAATATTTGTAGCCAACTAACCCACTGGGTAGACTGTTGGCTTTGCTGGTCGTGAGTCAATGATTACGCCAGATTGACTTTTCAGCTAAATTGCGTTTATTATCTGAACAACAGACGATATTCAGTCTGCAGAGACGTACACAGCAGCGGTTCTATCTTGTTGGAAGCTTCAGATCTGTGAATATTTATACTTGCACATGATTTAGTTTTCTGGTTTGTGACCAAATGATTAAGCAGCCATTAGTAGATTAACAACAAAGTGGAATGTGTTTATTCCTTTGCTCGTTTCATTCAAATGCAAGAAAGTGATCCCTATAACTCATAGTTGGTATATGTTGTGTACAAACCCCTTCTTCTCCACAAGGGGGCACAATAGATGAGCAAATGCTTCCACAGATGTTTAGTCACAGCTTCTCCATAAAGTCAGCTTCATGAAAAATTACAAATTCAACCCTTCTCACATTTTATCTCTTATGTTTTGTTGTGCATTCTCAACTTCTGTGTTATCTATTCAACATGGATATGAACATTTTCTCTAAAATCTGCTCCGCCCACACTGAAACATCTTTTAGCCACACACAAACCTTAATCGATAATTGAATGGTATTGTAGTCACACAAAGTTTGTAAAATCAGACTTTTTCTTCTTCACAGGAATATCTGCCCCTGTAGTCTACTTTGTGGACTATACCTGCCACTGTATCTTCCTGGAGGACATTGTGGGTTCCTCAACTGTGCGTGACTATATTGCATCTGCTCAACAGTCTGACTCCTGCAAGGAGCTGAAGTTGCAGAGGCTGGCCGAGCGTGTGGGGCAGGTCCTGGCTAAAATGCACGATGAAGATGTCATCCACGGAGACCTGACCACCTCCAACATGCTGCTGAGACCCAGCCCAGAGGGAGGAGAATCCGACCTGGTCCTCATAGATTTTGGTCTGAGTTACATCTCTGCTCTGCCCGAGGATAAGGGTGTGGACTTGTATGTGCTGGAGAAAGCCTTCCTCAGTACCCACCCCAACACAGAGGAACTGTTTGAGAAGCTGCTGAAAAGCTACACAGCGTCATCCAAGAAGTCATCAGCTGTCATTAAAAAGCTTGACGAGGTTCGGTTGAGGGGAAGGAAGAGGTCAATGGTGGGGTGAAGATACTCCCCATGTGTGTACAGGGGCAGACTTGTGGAATTTCATAACGCTGAAATTAAGACACTGTTGTGCACAGTCTGTAAATTAACATTATGCAAAAATTGTAATTGAATATAACAATATTTCTAATAAATGGGGCCTCAGATCTTGCAGTTTATGTGGTGATTTATATAAAAGCACCTAAGGTACTGCTCAGTATCCTCAAGCTCCCAGGTTTGAGGGTCAGGCTCCCAGGTAGAGGACCCGAGCTTGAAGGATAGACTGCCCGTAGGGGCGAAAGGGAGTTGAGACATACATAGATAGATATGTGTGTATATATATCAAGTAGTTTGTGTTCCATGAAAAATGGAACCAGTAAACTGAATTTATGAACACACACACAAGTGGATCAATTTAGTATTAAGAACTTTATAAAACTACTGCATTCCTTTTGACATGAGCACTGATAAGCTGAAGCAGTCATGCAGGATTTTAAAGACGGCAGAAATGAGTGTTTCCTCAGTCACGGAGAAGGTTACTTGTAGAGAACAGTCAGCTATTCAAGTGTCAGTTTTAATTATATAGCAGCAAATTCCAACAACGGTTGCCTCAAGGAGAACTTCGGAATAGAAATTATTCCGAAGTAATAGAAATTACCAGAAATTTTCACGAGTACCAATTTGTAATGGTTAGACCAAACCAGAACTTACTGGTGAAGACATACATACAGGGTTTTGGGTTTAAATTTCATGGTTGGCTGGAGCCTTTGTGGATAGTGTTTGCAGATTCTCCTTGTGCCTCTTTGGTTTTCTTCTGCAGTTAAAATTCTGAGTCTGAATGGCACTAGAAGTCAGGTAGGCAGGTCAAAGTCCAAGAGGAGGTGTACTATGACTGATAAGCAGACACTTAAGGTGAATGTTTAGCCACCACAACCATGCTTAATAACACAGGATTTGTAACGCACCACGTGATCTTCAGTTAACTGTGTTTGAATTGTGTGAACACACCCAAGTAAAAACGAATGTGTCACATGTTGCTTTCATTTTTAATTTACAGTGACGGTAACATCTGAGACCCCATGGATCAGCAGCGTATTACAAACATGACGATTAAACTCATGGTTCTTGCCTTGTACTGTAAAGGTGAGTGTTTGTCAGTGTTCCGGCTTGTAAATGACAGCTCTGTCCTTTTCGTTCTCATAGTCTACATGACTCCTTCCAGGTTCCTTGGCTGAGATCACCAGAGAGCTCAGTGTCTTAGTGGGCAATGAGGTAACGCTCAGCTGCATGTTCGACACACCGCATAAGCTAGTGGAGTGGAGTGCTCTTAGTATTGAATGGAACATGGTGGACAAACACGCAAAGAAGAGCATGGTGTACACGCTGGAAGATGGAAGAGCTCATGTGTACAAAGAAGGCTCTGTGGTGAATGAAACGTGCCTGCGTCAGAGTGATGCGTCGCTGCAGCTTCATAATGTCACTGTAGGAGATGAAGGACTGTACACCTGCAGAGTCATCAACCC